AGTTATGTGTATTTTATTCTTCTTGATAGTGTCTCAAATTATTTTTAGGCTTTCTTAATTTTTCTTCCTTTCTGATTCTGCTTTTTTGCCCTAGCAAATCAGTGCTAAGAGCTCTGTCTTCTGTTTCACTGAGTCAATGCTCCATCTTAAATTCTGTTCCTCTGTCCTTCTCACATATTGACAACTTCTGAGATGTTTGTCTTAGTATTCTGAATTGCTGGCTTTTTTCCTAGGTTTTTTAATGCCTTGATTGGTTTGATCTGCTTTCTCCTGTATTGCTTTTTTTTTTAAAGTGTCTCTTGGGTTTTACTTGTTGATTCCTCTGATTCTTAGACTTACACACACACACAATTTTGAGAATACATGATCATTGTTCTTTTGAATTCTGTGTCAGGAAGTTCAGTCAGACTTTCCACCTTCAGAAATCCATTGATTCTGTGTTTTGATCACTTGGGGGGAGGTGTATCTTGTGGGGTATGTGGTAATCTGTTCTGTGCCATTGCTGTAAGAGGGGTTTCCTTGACTAGGGTACACAGGTCTGGGATCTGGCAACCTTGAGTAGGGAGCTCTCTGTTCCAGTGGAGGGAGAGCAACTCATTCTGCCAGAAGGCCTCTCTGGCCTCTCCCTAGTTGGGGAACTCAACATGCCAGGGAAGGGGAGGGCAACTTATCCTGCTTGAAGTCCTCTCTGGTTCTTGGGCTCATGGGAATACTTGCTCACTGCTCCAGGGGAGAGGAAGGCACCTCACCTTGCCTGAAGTTCTCCTGGTCCCACGGTTGGTGAGAAAGCTCATCTGGATGGGGAGCTCACTTCTCCAGGGAAGGATAAAGCAACTTTCTCTGCCTGAAGTCCTCTCTGGTTCCATAGCCTGTGGGAAAGGAAAGCTCACTTTAGTTGGGAACCTAACCAGGAGAGCAGCTAACCCTGCCTGAGACCTCTCTGATTCTTGGATTCCCCAGAAGACTTTATTTATGTTTTTTAAAAGACATTTGTATTAAATAAATCACTGATCTTAGATACTTGGTTAATTAATACTAGGCCTCATTTCTTTCACCAGGTACGTATATTCCAATGATCACTCCTTGGTTTCCTTTTTTTTTTTTTTTTCTCATTCATTTTTTTTCATTCCAGGTACCAGTTATTATTAATACATCTTGAGGGCATATTTGATCAATTTCAAACACAAAAGTTTGTAGAAGTCCTTAATTTCTTCTTTGATTTTATTGGTCAATCCCTATATTTGAATAATAGTTGTAGTAAGATTGGTAACGTTAGTAGCATACTATTACTTTGTACTTCAAGATAGATCTTGAAGTGTTTTGTTTATGAATGCAGCATCAGTCTTCCTCAGTTTGTCATTCTGCATAATAAATCATGCAATTTATTGTCCTGTTCATCTTCATCAATACCTCTATCTTAGATCACTCTGATGTCTAGGATGTTAATCTTTATATGTTCCAAGTAATATTTTACAGCTTCCAATTTTCCTAGATTCTTATTTTGTACACTTCATGTTCTAATTATTAATGGATATGTGCAGCTATTTTCACCTCATTTTGAGTGACTGCCAGCCTTAGATGCTCTACATCTAGTACTGTATCTAGCAGTGTTTCTCTGTAAATTCGTAAAGTTTTGATAGCCATTTATTTCAGAAATGGATGGTGAATCCCACTTTTTGGTCTTAGTGTGTAAGTTCCACTGAAACCTGTCAACCATGAATGTCTTGTGTAGTATTGTGCCATAGCTTCTAGCGTTACAAGAACCTGTAAATGACTCCAGTACAGCAAACTGATAGACAAATACTGTATTCATAAGAACAAACTAACAAGCAAACATCTATGTACACACAAACTGTAAAAGAAGCACCATCATACAGGTCACACTGCTCCCAATACAGCAGAAACACACATAATTGCTGTACCTATAAGAGCAAATCACAAAATAAACAAGCATGGAAATACGTAACATGCATGATAAGAGAATGGTGTATTAAGCATGTGGCAAGAGGTGGGCCCCTAGCATGTTTCTGCTCTCACCTCGGGAGCCTAGGCTAGTCCGCCTTGCTAAAGGTGGCATATTTGCCTATCCAGGCTATGGGTGTCTCACAGTCAAATGAAGTGTCTCCTGTAATCTGAGATCTAGACTTCTTTTTTTTGGGTCTTGTCAAGTTGGCTATGGCTCATAGCAACCCTATGAACAACAAATCTGTACCCACACCTATTCTGGACCACTTTTATTATTCCTGATGCATTTGAGCTCATTGCCACACACACTGTTTACCAGTGCATCTTATTGATAGTCTTTTCTCTCCTTTACTGGCCCTTCACTTTCCAAGCATTATGTCTCTTTCCAGGGAATAGCCTCTCTTCACAGCATGTCTAAAGTATGTGAGATGAAACTTATCCATTCTTGCCTTCATGTAGCACTCTGGTTGCCCTAGGTCACTTATTTACAGTATTGAGTCCCAAATAAATACCTTTGAAAATTTGCAAGGGAGACGGTAACAAATGTAAAGAATATTACTGACATTAGTCTTTAGAGCGGCTTGTAGGGGGAGGTGGAAAAAGCAAGAGAGAACTTCAGACCATTTTAGGTCGTGATTCTCAGGTAATAATAATGGAAAGAATGAGATTATTAAACAGGAATGTCAGGAGGACTCATTTCAAGAGCTTCAGGAGGAAGAATGAAAAAATTCTACAGTTTGAATAGCAGACAGGATAATAAATAGTGACAGCTATAGATTTGTATAACAATTTAAAGCATACACTGAATTAGCCTACTAAGTTAATTAATGGTATTGACATGATCGCAGAGCTTGAAGTAAATTAGGTTGGGACTTCATTTTCAGTGTGCTATATGGTGAAATTTGGGAGGTCTGGTGGCCTAGTCTCTTGAGGACTTACGTTGTTAGCACAGAGTGCCTGCATCCACCAGCAGCTCAGTGGAAGAAAGATGGACAGTTCTTCCATGAGATTTAGAGCCTTGGAGACCCAATTTGAGGGTGACCTGTGAATTGATGCTGACTCAATGACAGTAAGCGCATGTGATGAAGTTGATGTGTCATCCACAGAACAGGCCACACGTGGTTAAAAATCTTGAATTAGGTGTAGAATGGGTTCAGATCTGATACTGAAGTAATTTACATAGACATTTCCCATCAAGAGGATGAGCTTAGATAACACAGCATATAATGAAAGAAATCACATAATTAAGAATTCATCATTAAAGATTTAACACAGGCAGACATTGGCGCCAAGACTATTTAGTGAAGGAGATTAATAAATAGTATCCCAACAACAAATTCAAATTTAAAGAAAAAGAATAAAGTCAAAGGTTGCATTTTCTTTGTTTTCCTGTTGTTTGCAATTTTATGTACATGCTGTTAGACTTAATAATAATATAGAATCTTACTTACCTGGCAGGGGATCACAAAGGTAGTTTACCCAGGGTGAGTCGTATCCATTGCACTCCAGATGTGCTGACCCCTGCGATTTCTCCAAATGTGGGAAACTCGACTGCATAATTTGTGGTAGTGTGGGACTACATTCGTGCTTTCCCCCATTAAAAAAATAAATAAATAAATAAATAAATTTTATATGTATAATCTGTAAAGTCCTTATTCATACGTCATACTTTTTTTAGTGCTGTGCAGTAGGTAGTCTTTACTGGGCAGCAAAAACCAGTAAAAATATTTACAGAAATATTTAAGCTGTTTACTAAGTACAGTGATTATAAAAGATTCTTATGTAAAATGAATTTTAAAGAAATTATTAAAAATACAGATGGTTGATATTTAAAAATACTTTTCCATTTGACTTTAATCTTGGTTATTAAGGTTTATTTACCAAAGTGATTGTAACAATGGGGTTGAGCATATCCGTGATCATGAGGCTGGCCTGGCACCCAGGTCTTTTGTTCCAAGGGTTGCTAGGAGTTGTAGAACCCGACTGGATGGTACGTACCTAACACAGTTACATGCTTGATTGAGCTGTGTACCGCTGAGTTGGATCTGATGCAGAGCTGGCCCTCTCGCGGGTTTTCAGAGGCAGCGAATCACACAGGAGATTGTCCATCCTTCTCCCTTGGAGCAGCTGGTGAAACCGGGTGTATTCAGGATTGCAGTGTACCCTCTTGCCACTGGACCACCAGAGCTCCCTAAAATTATATGGTAGATAGAGTTATTCATTGTATTCCACCTCTACATTCCATCATGTGCCTTTGGTAGCCCCATATTGACTTGGTGGTAGGAATATTTACAGAGTGGAAATTAACAAATTTTTATGAGCTTGATTTTATTGTACTATTGATTGTAGAAAAAAAAACAGATTAAAAGCCCAGATGTATCAGGCCTATATTCATTACATGATGTGCTCAACAAATGAAAGAACTTTCTTGAAATATTTGAGAACTATTATTTAATTCTTAAAGAAATTGGTCACACTATTAACTAATGACATTTCAGCATACAAGATTTTCATATCTTTTACCTTTTTCTCTTAATGTGAACACAGATATCAACGGGAAAGACTGTTGAACCGGTATTAGTCATTTGCTACCATGTATTAACTCCATGCTTATTTGTCAGTATTATCAAAGTCATATTTTTATCAGATTTGACTGGCTATATGCAATTTATAATAAAGATTCCTACCAAGTGTGTACCTTCCAACATTACTACTTATTTACTAAAGAATTTTACTCTTCTTACTGGTGGAGTTCTTCACTGGAGAATTAGTTTTTTTACAAGGTTGGGTTTTTTCCCTCGCCTGTTTTACATTTTATAAAACAGCATTAGTTCATTAGTTTTTCTCTTTAATTTCCTCTTTTCTGATCATTGTGATATGCCATTAGAGATGATAATGTTTTTATTTATTCAATATTGTCTAAATGTCAACTATAATCTTACTCTGATTAACTGTACAATAATAATAGGAAAGTAGTGGAATAGTGTTACATTGTATTAATTTATTCACTAAAATAGTGTAATAACGTTTTCTAGGGACTCAACTAATGAAACTACTGCACATTCAGATGCTGGCAGTGAACTGGAAGAAACAGAGATCAAAGGAAAAAGGAAGAGGGGTCGACCTGGCCGGCCTCCAGTATGTATTATGCCCGTCTTCTTTTTCGTGTTAATAGGCCCGACATTACTTGTTTATTAATTCTGATACTGTTAACAATTTTCTTTTCAGGGATACCTGACAAGTTTTTAAAAAATGTTTTGTATTTCATAAAATGGCTTGTCAGTGATCAGAAAAAGGAAGTTGGTTTTAATATCTCTTTACTATCTAAAATAGATATAGTATTTATTTTAACTCATCTTCTTCCCTTGTAAATAAATAATTCATCCTGAGAACCATAGAGAAAAATTATTAACATGGAATGTGATGTAGTTAGTTAGAATATCACTTCTGCGCATGTATTTTGATAGTATTTATTTGGTGCTTGGAACAATTTCAGAACATAATCTAAGTAATAAATATATATGAAGTTTTGAAGAAGTCTAGGTAGCCTATACTTTGAAGGGATATCTTTATGTATTATGAAACCTTTGATCGTAACTGAAAGATATACATACTTTCACATATAATAATTGATTCATCACATATAATAATTGATTCATCAAAGATTTGTATTGGCATTCACTTTTATTTTGTGATTTTTCTACAATTTTTAATAACGAAATATCCTTACGGTAATTTATGCTAGTAGGAGTGAGTACTGTAGTGAGTCTTTCATATACTTATCTGTGGTTGTTAGGTGCTGCTGAATCACCTCTGCCCCACACAGACCCTATGGATTATAGATTAAGCCTTGCCCTCTTGTTTGAGCTCTGCACAGTCTCTGCCCTGCTCAAAGTCACTGTTGTAGGCACTGTGTCCGTTCCTCTCCATGAAGAGTTTTCATCTCTTTCACTGATCCCCTATTTTTCAACCTTGCTGTGTTTTCTAGGTCTTAGTACCTCCTGGCAACACATCCATTCATTACATTTCAGACAATGTTTCATCATTCTTACTTACTCTGGTTGCACTTCCTCCAAACAGATATGTTTGTTTTTCTTGCCAGTCCATGAGATATGCAGTACTCTTCACCAGTATCACAGTTAAGAGGCATTCTTTATTCTTCCTTGTTCCTTATCCAGTTTGCTTGTTCATGTGAAAGAACTGAAAATATCCTGGGCTTGAATCAGGCATGTGTTAGTCTTTAAAAGACATCTTTGCTCTTTAACACATTTAAGAGGTCTCAGACAATAGATTTTCCCAAACATGTCTTTTTGGATTTTATTTGTCAATCCCAAGTAAAACGGAGTCTTGTTGTCTGTTAGTATGCTCTGTAATGGTCCAGTGGTGAGGATTTTTGTTATATTGACGTGGAGATATGACTTATTTTGAAGGCTGTTCTCTTCTTCCTCCAGATTATTAAGGAGTGATGATATCAGTTTGAGGACTAAGGGATGCCTGATTCAGGGCATGGTCTTTGCTATCACTTGCTTTGCATCTGAGAGCTGGACAGTGAATAAGGATGACAGAAAAATTAGAATTGATGCCTTTGAGATGTGGTGTTGGAGAAGAGCACTGAACATCCCATGGATAGCCAGAAGAACAGACAGATATGTCTCAGAGAGGGTACAGCCAGAGTGCTCTTCGGAGGCAAGAATGATGTGGATTTGCCTCACATACTTTGGACATACTTCTAGGAGGGGCTGTAACTTGGAGAGGGACATGATACTTGGAAGGGTGGAAAGTTGGTGAAGGAGAGGAAGACCCTTGACCAGGTAGATTGATGCGGTGACTGCCTCATGGTGCTCTTGTGTGTCAGGAAGTGTGAGGATGGCACAGGATAGAACAGGGTTCAGATCTATTGTAGTCACTGTGTGTTGTATTCAGCTCTACAGCACCTAACAACACCAACAACTCTTTTTCAGTAAATACATTAAATCTTCTTCATTTTATCCAAGCAAGGTTGTGCTTTCTGCATAAAGGAGATTATTGATGTTTTATGCCAGTTGTGATCACATCCCATTCTTCACATAGTCAAGTATCTCAAATTATTTTCTCAGCATACAGATTGAGTAGCTATGGAAAGAAAATGCAACTCTGATGCACACATTTCCTGATTTTAAACCGTACTGTTTTACAAGAATAAGGAAAGAATACACCTTGACACACATTTTTATTTTAAGTATTGCAGAATCCCCTTGTGTGCAAATAACTGCTTGTTGGCAGGTAAAGATTTTGCGTAAACACAACCAAGAGTTCTGGAATTGCCATTCTTCTCAAATATTATTAGTACTTTATTGTGACCTACAAAATTCAGTGTCTTTGCATGGTCAATTAAACAAAGTCAACATCTACCTAATATTCTCTTCTTTGACCTAAGAGTTATCAGTTGACAGTAATAATTACGTATCATTTGAAAATTTTTTCTGAATCCAGCTTGAATTTTTAGCTGTTATACTACTGTAGCCGTCTAAAAAGAGTTTTTGGCAAGATTTATTTGCCTGTGATATTGATGGTCTGCTTTTACAATTTCTAGATTTGTGTGTGTGTTGCTATTATTTTTTTTATTGGAATGGTAACAAATAAGGACATATGCCAAATATTATTGGTTAGAAAGCTGTCTTCCAGGTTTCTAGTAAATAAAGAGCACATCCACAGCTGAATCTGTTTGCTGAAACCCTTAATTTTTATTCTGTGAATTCCTGGAGCCTCATTTTTTGGTAGTCCCTTCATTGTAGCTTCAATTTCTTTATTACTGTGAGAACTTGATCATTTGCTCTTTCTTGAAATGATGCAAAATGGACCAAATCTTTGTGGTGTAGAGACTCTGTATTCCTTCCAATTACGTTTGGTGCTTCCTGAATAGTTGAGCATTTTACCCATAAAATCCTTTAGTATTGAATATTGAGGCTTCAGTTTTTTCTTCAATTGTAGAAATACTTAACATCTCCTTCCCTTTCGATTTCTAACTCTAGATCTTTGCACATTTTAGTATAATATTTGTATTTGTTTTCTGAAGGTGCTTGTTGAAATCTGTTGTTCACCTCTCATAAAATAATTTTCTTGTTTGCTTTTAACTTCTCTCTGTTCAAGTGCAGTATTCACAGTGTCTTCTGACACCCAGTATTTGTGTTGGTGTTTTTTTTTTCTGTAATGACCTTTTGCTTTCTTCACAGATGGTGCACTTGATGCCATCCTACAACTTATCTGATTAGCAGCACAACACATCATACACTATGCCACCAAACCTCATTACAAGACAGCATACCATTGTAAACATTTAAAAAGAAAAAAAGAAATTCCAAATAAAGGTTTTTTTAAAAACCAACATGACATAAATGATAACTACACAGAGAACACACTAGATTTTGTATAATGAATTATTTATTCATTGTAAATAATTTTTTAAAAAACAGGACTATACACATGTTCCTCACCTGATGGACTGCATAGGAATCAGATTGTCAGCATGTGTGGAACGAGTCAAGGGAGAAGCTCAGTATCTACAGTAAAAACAAGACCAGGTCATAAATTACTCTGATGCAGGTTCAAATTTAAGGTGTAGAAAACGAAAAGAAATGTTTGTGAACCAAAATATGGTTTTGATTCTATCCCAACTGAATTAATAAACCATCTTAAGAATAGATCTGATGCTTTGAACAGTAATGACAAAAGACCAGAAGAGTTGTAAGGTTGAAATCTAGGACATTATTCATGAAGAAAGGAAAAGGTCATTGAAAAGACAGAAAGAAAGAAAAGACCAAAAATGGATGCCAAAAACTATTCTAAAACATGCACTAGAACTGAAGGAGGCTGAAATAAGGGCAGAAATAGTAGTAAACAGAAGATTTCTAAGGGTAGCTTAAAATACAAAACAAATATTGTAATGTAAACTGACAAGGAACTGAAGTTAGTATAAAAACCTAGAGCAAAGAATGAGTTTGGTAATTTTCAAGTTGAGAGAACTGAAGAACAAATTTAAATCTTGTGTTGCAATATTGAAATAAAATTATTGAATGATTCCAGAGCATGAAGAGACAATGGAACGAATACCCAGTCACTGTCCCAAAAAAGAATTGGTTGGTACTGAACTATTTCAGAAAGTGGCATATGGTCAAGAATCAGAATAATGAAGGAACAAGTTTAAGCTGCATTGAAGTCACTGGTCAAAAAATAAAGCCCCAGGAATTGCAACAAATACAGCCTTAGAGTTGCTCATTAGCTAATGCCACAAAATTGGAAGACAGTTAACTGTTTAACTGACTGGAATACGTGCTTATCTGCTACCATTCCCCAAAGAGATGATCCAATAGAATGTGAAAATTATTTTTAAAAATAATTCTATCACATGCAAGTAAAACTTTCCTGAAGAGTCTTTAAAAAATTACTCAAACAGTACATAACAGAGAAGTTACACAAATTCAAGTTGTTTTCGAGGGTAGCCATGGTATGAGGGATATCTGTGCTTATATTAGCTAGATACTGTCTAAAAACAGAGTGTATCAGAAAGATCTTACCATTTAGGAGAATGAGAATCACAGAACACTTAGTTGTCTCCATGCAAAACTGTGAAGTAAGCGTGGGCACAGCAGAGATGCTTCAGCCTTACATCTACTACCTCCCCAGAGTAAACCGCCCATCAAAAGCATCCATACACAAAGCCAGTGTCCATGATGTTAGACATGTCTTCAGTACTTTTGGAACTCCTTCTACTAATTTCAGCACCAATCCTACTGCTCTGCTTGGTCTGAAATCTGTTGAAATAGCTATAGAGACCTCACAGAACCATTCTAATGGTAATGGGGTTTATTAGGGGAGTTAACAGAATATAACTAAAACTTACTTCCAGATTATTGAGGAGTAGTGTTATCAGTTTGAGGACTAAAGTTTGTCTGATTCAGGCCATATAGTCTTTCTGATCACTTGCTGTGCATCTGAGAGCTGGACAGTGAATAAGGATGAGAGAAAAAGAATTGATGCTCTTCTTGGAGAAGATCACTGAAACATCCCATGGACGGCCAAAAGAACACACATAGATGTCTCGGAGAGGGTGCAGCCAGCGTGTTCTTTGGAGGCAAGAATGATGAGGCTTTGCCTGACAT